AGCAAAATGTTAAGATTTACGTGAGCTGGACCGATTTAAAAATACCTTCCAAACTGGAGTTTTTTATAAATAAAAACTTTCAAAAAGGTTTTTTTTTGAAAAAATCTCCTGAGATGACAAATCATGCTAAGCTTAAAAAATTTATATAAAAATATACAAAAAATTTTTCATGGGAATCATAATGACATTTTTTATGCTGTTTTTTCAAAGATTTGTTTAAGAAAAGAATGATTCCGTTGATCATTTTTTTTAAATATTTCTATGCAAATTTTTTAAGCTAAATTGTTTTGTTATCTGAGGTGATTTTTTGCAAAAAAATACTTAAAAATATTGTTTTTATTCACAAAAAACACACTTTTTGGAGGTATTCTCAAATCGGTCCAGCTCACGTAAAACCTAATATTTTTTCGAAATATTTTGGGGCAAGTCTTAAAATAAAATAGATTTTATAATTTCAATGGGAAAAAAGTACCGATTTTTTTTATGAAGAGTGATGTAGTATAATGTACATATGTATGTACTTTTTAAATTACAGATAATAGTGAAATGGTGGCACTATCTATAGAGACATCATCGGGCGATCTTTATGAATGTGGTGTTTCTCCCACTTCGCTTTCCGATTGTGCAACCCCAACACCGTCGACATCAGCAGCTGCCCGTGCATCTGGAAAGAAAAATTTTCAAAAGAAATTTTTAGAAAAACTAGACAAAATTGAAAAGGAAATGGAAAAATGTAGTAAAGATTTGAGAGAAAGTGATATAGATTTAAGAGAAACCAGTAAAGCATTTTTAGAAAATGAAATGATAAGAACTCAAATTTTAGATGAATACGTTAATGATAACAAACAAGTAAATAAGGCAATCGTTGAATTTTTACAAAAGAAATAAATATTGATATTTATACTACTTTTTTAATAGTTGAAGTGAGTTCTTGCTTTTGCATATAAATGAATTAATTTTTTGTTCTAGTAAACACAATATGTGGACAGTGAATTGCGAACGAAACTCGGATGTTTATTTTTCAAGTTTACCATATTTTTTAACAATGAAAACAAAGTTAATTCAATAACATAGACCATATAAATTAAAGGTTAAAACTTTGTGCGAAATTCATTAATTAATTCAAAAATGTCAAAGTCTCAAACTTTTTATCAGAGTTTCCAAAAAGATTTTGGATATGCATAGCTCATTCAAAGGTGCACTTTTTTATACTGAAATTATTTGAGCTAAAAAACTTCCCAGCATTATCTAGAAATTCTGATTAAAAAAGTTAGAGATTTTGATATTTTTGAATTCTGTTAATTAACGAATTTTGAACTGAGTTTGAAGCTTTGATTAACATATAAGGTCTATGTTATTAAGTTTGCTGTATTTATATTAACAAATTTAAAAAAACTGATAAACTTTGTAATATTAACATCCGAGATCCGTTTGTAATTTATTGGCTACATATTGTAGTTAAACTATGTTTTTGTTGATACAATTACTTGTAGTTAAGTTTTGGTTTTTACAATGAGTTGAATTGGGTTTTTGTTTTATTATTTTAATATACTGAAGTATTATTTTGTAACAAAAGACTGAATTAATAAATAAAGTATTTATTAAAAAAAAAATACCAGTTAAAATTAGCTCTACTTACAAACAAAGGTAGCTAGACTATTTCGAATTATTTCTGCACTATTTTGACGATCGTTGACAGACATTTCTTGTTGTGGATATTGACGATTCCTTTCTATATCCTGCAAAGCGGACATCCATTTTTCGTTAATGTTGTCATTTCTTTCGTTTAAGAAGTTGTGCAGAACACAGCATGCTTTGATAATAGCATTCGTATTTTCGACTTTATTGTCTATACCTTTGCCTATTCGTCGGAATCGGGCCTTAAGATGACCAAAGGCATTTTCAACAACCCTTCGCACTTTCGAAAGCGAATAGTTAAAACTTTTTTCGCTTTCATTTTGCATTATTTGGAATGCATAAGGCTTCATCAATATTTTGCTGAAACGAAAAGCTATGAAAACCGGCACATCAACATCTAAAATAGTTCTACTCATTTCGTGAAGGTGAGAACACTGTTCTAATTGTGCCTTCAGCGTTGATGACTCAAAAATTTGGGAATCGTTACACCGCCCTGGACTACCAACATTGATATAAACAAATCGGTATCTAAAAATTCATATGTATGTATATGATGTA